GCTTAAAATCTCCATAATAAAGACAACCAACCAACCAACCAACCATCTCCATGTATAAATTGAGAGAAATGGAAATAATTAGCTTTCGATGCATACTCGGATGCGTATCCTGGTCAAAAAAAAAAGTAAACGACAGCCTTAAGAAATCATTCGTGGACTTTGTCGTTCACTTATTTTTCGGAAATTGTTGTTAAACAAGCTATAATTAAATAAAAATGGTTTCCCCCCCCCCCCCCCCCTACAGTTTTATCCGTTTTACTACCAGTCCCAAGAGAGCCAAAAATTTAAATTTGAGAAAGAAAATGCGCTCTCACGCTAAATCTCTAAATCTTTCAACATGCCATGTATTTTGATGAAACTCAATTTGTGATTTCCCTTTCACAGATTACAAAATAGAGTACCTGACACTACAAAACATGTCTGGTACCGAGGGGTGTGACACTTCTAAATTGACAATTGGATTCGGCAAATAATCGAACCGCTTTTTTAGATCAGTGTACATTGGACTGATGCAAAATTTGAAATCTTCGCTCCACATTGCTCAAATGGTTCCAAATTGGGTCCTGCTTAGCCTCCTAAAATTTGAACTACTTTAGTAAGAAACTGCACACTTAGAAATTTTTACAGAAATCTGTAAAATTTTACCGAATTCTCAACAGCTGAACGTTTGGTGAACAGTTTCGCAGATTTTCTGTAATTTTTCACAAATATCTGTGAATTTTTCACAGATATCTGTAAATAATTACAGGAAAACTGTAAAATTGTTTACCGAACGTTCAGCTTTTGAGATTTCGGTAAAATGTTACAGAAATCTGTAAAATAATCGTAGTGTGTGACTTGGCTCAAACTATTTCAAGTTTATATGGGAATTACTATGGGAAAACTTATGTTTTTGTTCATATCTATGTAACAATTCACCACATCACTATGCTTTTAAAAATGATAGCAGTGATTGTAGTAAATTTTCTCAGCTACAACTTTGTTGAAAATCACTTTTCAATCATATGTAAGAAACAAAAGTTTTTAATGATTCAAGTCACTGATGGCTGATGATTATGCTCATTCAACTGTTCAGCAGGCAACATTGGTGTTTCTGATGCGAAGAATAGAGCACAAATATCATGGCTACTATGTCACACTGCAGAATACAGTGTTGCCCACAATACAGTTGCTTAATCTTGCCATAAGATTATCAATCTATTAAACAATTAATAATTATTTAATTTGACGTTTGGCTGAAAAATAATTTTCTGCAAAGTTGTAGCTGATAAAAATTCCCATAAGAATAGCAATAGAATTTGTTAACAACAGTTCATAGTAGTTTCCATGTAAACTTCGAATAGTTTGTGCCAAGTCAGTTTCTTACCCAATGAGTTTAAATTTTGGGAGGCTAATCAGGACCTGATTTGAAACCGTTTGAGCACTGTGGAGCGAAAATCTCATATTTTGCATCAGTCTAGTGTACATTCATTAGATTCCTTTCCCTAGCATACGCGGCATCTACTTTTTCAACGCTGTAAACGCTGAAGATGGAAGCAGATGCGAGCAGTAATATGGAAAGATTCTATATGAATGACCCAAGGGGTTGGTCACTCCACCGAGTGTCTCAAAAATACAGATGGGCACACTTGGGCAATTTCATTGGCACCCATGGTTAGAAAATTTCATGATATTTAAAGTTACTGGCAACACTGTACTTTAATTTGCGCCTGCTCTGTGCATTACTTACGGAGAAAGTAAAGTAAACGCTTTTATTCATACGACCTAATATGTTAAACATTGTTGTTAACACAGTCCAATGTTTGATTTCATAACATCCACCGTGAATTTCCGGCGAAGTTCTCCCATGGATTCGTCACAGTGCACATATTTTCAAAACATTAGGATGAGCGAGGTCATCAAGGTAATGACCGTTGCCAAGTACAACTGTCATCCTGGGGTCATACTGGAATTCTTCCAGATGGTGCTGGAGTCGCTACCGGAAGACTTCGAGATCGGAGAACCTCCACTCAAGACGATCGAACTATTCAAGGATCTGGTGCGGAAGGCTTTGGTGTTTCAGAACAGTTTGATCGAAGTTGGAAATGGGGTGGCATCGTTCCGAAAGCTGATTGAAAAGATGACCATGAAGGGACTGCTGCCATGAAGGGATTCGTAATGTGATTAGTGAGTTGGTTAGTGGGGAGAGTGAGACCCTGAAGGAGGAAGTGAAGGGAACGTTGAAGACGTTGGTAGATCAATTTGAGGTGGGGAGATTCGTGACGGAGCTGAAATCACAGCCGAAGGAGGTTAAGTGGAATTGTAAGATGTTGATTGGTCAGTTGTTTGGCTTGAAGGTGAGCTCCTGAAAGTCGACATCGGTGAGCTGGTTGAAGGATAGGTTTAGCTTTCAGACACGACCCTGGTAACCCAGCGCTTTAAATAGAATATTTCAGTGGAAACATGTCAGAAGGGTCTAACTCGAAACGTAAACAATGATATTGAAATTTTCCTGAAATTCTTGGAACTGACCTGATTTTTTCGAAACGTACCCTGACAGATTATTGAACCACAGACAAACAGACATAACATTCGTAAGTTGTTCATGGAACAAGCATTTAACGGTCAATTTAAAAGTATCGTAATTCCCTTGCGTTTGACGTTTATTTATACACTACTGCCATCTGTTCAGCGTACTGCTCACCACAGTGTACTCAATATATGGTGGTAATGTTTTAGCGATGATGTTTTACAGCTAGAACTATTCAATGTGTTATGTCTGTTTGTCTGTGATTGAACTTTCAAAAAGTATTGGACGTTCCTAAAATTCTCGGAATATTCCTGAAGTTATTGGAACTGCCCATAAAATCATTGAGCTTCCCTGAAGATCTATAAACCTAGCTTCCCTGAGCTTCTTGGAGCTGCTTAAAGTATTTGCAATTTTCCTCAATTTCGCAGGACATCTCTGAAGTTTTCTATGAAATTCTCATAATATTTCAAAGCTGCTGCAGTTTTCCTGAAGCTAATGGAACCACCTTGAAGTTTTTGAACCTTCCTAGAAGAGCTTGAAACTTTTCCAGATGTTCAATTTCAATTTTCGGAACTTCATTAAAGGTCCGAACATTTTCGTGAAGTTATTAAATAGGACTGCCCTGCAGTTGTCTAATCTTTCCAGTAGTTCTTAAGTTATCGCTCAGATATTGCTCAGAAGTTTAAAAAAAATCTGATATTCACGGAACTGTACTGGAGTTCTTAGAATTAACCAATTGGGTTCTTCAATTTTGAAAAATATATCGGTTTTTATATATCACCTGAAAGAGCTTCGTTTTCTGAGCACAGCGATATTTTTTTTTCGCACCCACACACTTTCATCTCGATTTTTAAATCAAGATATAAAGCAAAATAATAACTTCACTGTTGGGTTCCATTTTTAATTCAGATTACGAATATGCATTTACCTTAATACCCCTAAACAACCCAATTGAAGCCATTGGAACTTACGCTTTAAGATCATTAAACTTCCTTGCAGAGCACTCCAGACGATCTTGAAATTCTTGGAAATACTCTTCTTCAACATTATCGGATCTTCTTTAACATTATTGGATCTTTAACCTTCCTAATGCATTAGGTTATACATTGTTCATTAGCGGGTCAAAAAGCCCCAAACTGCAACTCGCTTCCAAAAATCAATTTTTGAACCGATTCTTGATCTATTGGCCTCAAATGAAAGATGAATGAGGTTCCTAGAATGGCCCCACCCTTCCCAAGATTTCTCCAATTTGGCCATTTTGGCTACCTGGCACCGATTCCGAGAGAGCACGAAAGGACACTTCTAAAACCGTCCGACGGCTCAAAATTTATGACTTTTCATCCCGAAGTAAATATACATCATGCCATGGACCTTAAGGCGGATCTGGCAACATCCGGATACTCGGAACCGGTTTTGGTGAGGTTCAAAAAGGACATTTCCACGTACTGGTATCGTCCGACGGTTGAAATTTTATGATTTTTCACCCAGATGTAAAAAGACATCATGCCATGGTCCGAAAAGTGAATCTGGCTACATCTGGATACCCAGAACCGGTTCCGGTAAGGCTCCAAAAAGGACAATTCCAAAACCTCAGGTAAGGTACACCGGGCAAGTTGAAAAGCGCGGGGAAGTTGAGACGGTAGGTGAATCTCTTACCGGAGACATTCTATTAACAGGAAATTGACTTGCATATTAGCGCCGCATAGTAAACAAAATCTGTACTACTGTTCTTTACCCGATCCGGTGCAAATTTGACCGAAGACAGTAACCTTTTATATGGCCAGGATTATGTGATATTCCATTGACGGTCTTCCCCTATTAAAATAGTTATGGTTACTTTGCTTAACGTCGTGTTCTGTGTATAATCCAAACCATTTGTGGAATGGTTCAATCATTTGGGTTATCATTCGTTTATGGTACTGTTTATTAGGGTACCCTTAGGGATGGTTAACATTACCCTGGATATTTTTTTTTTTTCATTTATTATTTAGTCTGTTTTTGGTTCGTGATAAAACATCATCAAATGATATGGAAATTATCTGAAAATCAATAGAATCTACTCTAAATATGTATAATATTCACTTAATTCATCGCGGAAATTTTATACAATTTTGGTTAAATTTTACTTCAAACCAAGCTTCAAACAAAGAAAGCCCGTCGTCCCCTATTCAAGCATTTAATGAATAATTTAAGCCTCGCGCGCTTCGATAATGAATTACGACGTCAAATTCCGGCATTCCTTTGCCAGCGAAAGCCTAGACCTGGAAACCGTTACGTTCTTACGTTTCCTCCATAGGTAGATGATAGCGAAATTCTGAACCACGTGGGCGCCCGAAAATTCAAAGTGCACCCATCGTAGCAAGCGGCGCCGGCTGTTCCATTTTCGCGTCTCGTTGACCACGCGTCAAGCCAGGGCATGTTGCCATGGCCACCGTGGACCGTGTTTGACGAGTTTGCATTTTCACTTGTGTGTGAACCGTCGCGTCGTCGTCAGAGAAGGTTGCACATTTTCTGCACGCTTCTCCAAAGTTACCAGTGTTCCACTTTTTGGAGGAAAGTTTGATCCCTGATTTTAGGAAAAAGTGAAATCCCGTCTCCGTGAAGTTTTAGTGCTACCCATATCGAGAGCGTATTTATTGTAGAAAAGTTTTTAAAATTTCTCGACATCAAATGGCATCATCATCGAGCTCAACATCCGCGGTGAACCAAACGGGATGGGACCAATCCCGGCAGAGGAGCCCTTTTACCAAGGTAAGCCGTATTCTCGAACAGCAGATTGAATGCTTTTGATCGATTGTCATTCTCCAACCAGGCCGACCCCGAATTCAAGCTGAACGTGGCGGCACCTCCGTTCGTTTACCAGGCGCGAGCTTCAAGCTCGGCTGGAGTCCTGCGCAGCATGCCGGAGATTGGGTACATCGGCCCAACCCAGCTGCCGGTGAACGGCCGTATCTGGAATCGTATCTCCAACTACCCGCTGGAGCAGGCTCCCATCGTTCGAAGAGTAAGTTTTCCCTGTTCAAATTTCAAATTCCAGCCCCCATACCTCATAATTACAGACCACACCGGATCAGCTGTTCCAGCACTTTCAACAGCAGCAGCAGAAACAACAACAACAACAACAACACCTGCATCATCTACCACAGTACCAACGTAAGCAGCGCCAGTACTCCTCCACGCCGCACCTAGCCTACGAACCGGTTCGTCAGTTTGGTCCGGTGGTGCTGCCGAATGGAATCATTCAGCTTCAATTACGCGATGCCGTGTCCATTGAGATGACCGTGGATCGCTCGATTAAGGTGGTCAACAGCCAGGTGCGAATCACGATGGCCCTATCCAGCACGGGCACGTCTATGGCATTGAAGCACCCGAATGGGATCGTATTCCAGAACGGCTCCCGGGTGGACATCGTGGCGTACGATGGTCGAATGAAGAATTCGTTTGTGTGAGTATCTAGCTTCGATATTTCTATTGAGCCAATAACAATAACGCTTCCCACGTATTCCAGCCGTTACGCCAAGATGTGGCAGAAGGGGATTAGTCTCACCTGCGAAGGATGCGCTCTGATCTACCTTGTTGATGCCGCCGGCACTCGCACCACTTCCGATATGATCAACATCGATATGAACACTGATTACATCAGTCCGGTCTTCCACCAGTACGTTCTACCCCAAACTCTATTCTATCGATGCATCCCGATGCTAATCAAATCTCAATTTCCCCCTCCATCCTGCAGTGGCTCTCGGATCGGATCCCAATTCTACGAGGAAGCCAATCAGATTGCTCAGAGCGTAAACTTTTGGCTCGACGATGACGGGACTGAAATATTCCACCTGAACGGTTTCCGCATCCAGCAGACGATGGATGGCCTGGTGAAGGTGACCCGCATGACTAACCGATGCAACCTCCGGACGAGCCCAACTAATGGTTCCGCTACGGTTACTACGCCTTACATCCACTGCACGGCATCCATGGGGCAAACATCGCATCTTTTCGTACGGTAAGTGGATTTCAGAATAACGAGCTCTATCGTAGTCATAAGATTCCTAACTACATATGATGACTTTGCAGCCGTGAAGAACGCCGGATGCACTTCGACGGCAATTCGTTCGTCGTTCGCAACGCGGGACATTCGGCCGGATTCGACGACTGTAACCGATTGCGGGTGTACTAGCGAGGAGGATTTATCGTTTGCAGGAGAAAGTGAACTATCCGACCCATTTCAAATTAATGAAGAAAAGCACATGTCAGAAGGTTGCAGCATGTCTTCCTGACACGGGGGCGCGCGAGAGCCTCCTGCCTCTTGGTTATATGTTTATCTATCTTCGTCGGTATATTTATTCCATTTTACCCTTGGTAGACTGCCGGTGGAAGGCAGAGTAAGTACAATTTATCTTGCATCCCGTTTGGCTCCCCCCCCCCCCCAACTCGACAGGATGTGAGTGTGTGTGCACTGCATGTGGGCTAAAACGGAGGAGATGCAAATTGTATTAAATTAAACCTAAATTTACATACGTCGTAAATAGAGAAATAAAACAGGATGTGCTACACACAAAGTACAAGGAGCAAGTGTTGTCTTTTGTATACTGTACTGAGGATGGAGGGGTTCCTTTTGCAGAGCTGCGGGAATGAACTTTCCATGAAAAGAATGATTAAGAGATTCAAAGTTTTCATAGTTCTCTCGACCTTCTCTGATTTGAATGAAACTTTGCATACTTGTTTTTTTTTTTTGTGGGCAAAGATTGTCCGGTGCCGGTTGTGTAGTGGTAAGCGTGACTGCTTTCTCACCCCAATGGGTCTGGGTTCAATCATAGCCGAGGTCGGTGGGATTTTTCTGAGGCATAAAAATCTCTGGTCACGTCTTCCTTCGGAAGGGAAGTAAAGCCGTTGGTCCCGGCCCATGTATGTTGAATGGGTGCGATATCCTACGCAGGTGTGGAAGCTGCCTTCCTGCACATTCGATTGTCGTCAATGGATGGTAATCGATGTCCGTCGGTGATTGGCACTAGATTACGGAACAGAGACCGACGTTAAAAAATAGATTGTCAAGAACTTAATTTAGAAGAATTTAAGCTCCTAAAAAATGTTTTAAAAGAAGAATCAAATTACATAAAAAGTAAAGATTGCACTCGAAAAAAAAAATGCAACACTTTCCTTTGTGTATAACTTTTTATTGCATGGGTAAAAATAGAAGAATTTTTTAGTAAAACTAGTTTAGAGTGTAATGTTTACAAGTGCAAAATCTCGTCACAATCTGTCAAGTGGTTTTCGAGATGGCTTCCAAGCCAGAAGTGCTTCGACAAAAAATTATGGGAGCGATCGTGAAAAATCCAGGCTAGTCCCACAGGTGGATCGCGAAACAGTTTGGAATCGACAATTAGACCGTGTCCCGTATGTGGTCCCCAGGGGTGAGCTGGCAGTGGAAGAAAAGCGAAGACTACCGACTCCGTGAACGCAAGGAAGGTGAGGGATTACGTCAAGCGCAATCCAAACCTTTCGATTCGGGACGTGGACAAGAAGGTCAATTCTTCCGTCTGGTTCGTCCAGCAGACAATGAAGCGGACCGGAATTCATGTCTTCAAGATAAGGAAGGCGCCTAACCGAATCGATAAACAGAATACGGAGGCCAAATCCCACGCCAGGAAGCTGTACCGCGAGTGGTTGGTGCAGCCGAAATGTATCGTAATGGACGACGAGACATACATTAAAACGGTAAAATTTTTCGTCGGCAAGTCCCGCCTGGATGTTCCGGAGAAGTTCCGGAAGAAGAAGGGCGACAAATTTGCCAAGAAGTACTTAGTGAGGCAGGCAATCTGTGGGTGCGGTAAATCCATCAACCTTTACATATCGACCGGCACCATCAACGGCCAAATATATAAAGAAGAATGCCTCCAGAAGCACCTGCTGTCCTTCCGCCGGTCCCACGAAAGTCACAATATGTTTTGGCCGGTTCTGGCATTGTGCCAATACGCGAAACCGGTGATGGAATGGTACGAAGCGAACGATGTAGTTTTTGTGCCGAAGGAGACAAATCCGCCAAATTCACCAGAACTTCGTCCAAAATTAAAATTCTGGGCGATTAGCTCCGAAAAACAGGGAAAGTCTTCAAAAACGACAAGAATTTGAAGAAAGAGTGGATGAAAGTGTGTAAGAAAGATGGCGCAAGTGTTGCACAAGATTTGATAGGTAGCGGTTAGTCCAAGGTGCGGGCATTTAGCCTAGGCGAGGAGGTTGAATTACCCAACTTTGCAAAAACATAGCTGTGTTTATTTATTCCCTGAGAGTCTCAAAAATATCCGACCTAAAATAATTTTTTGATTATCATTTTTATCTGCCGCATTTGTTTTTTCGATTACGTTCTTTATGTTGGTTTTGTATGGGGTCGCCTCACTGTGCCGTGCACTGTAAGAGAATCTTACATTCACCGGTTGGTTCATTAAGAAAAACATATTTCTCAAAAGACTCATCTGACACCAAAAACAGACAGAGCCTCGAACCTTCAATTTTGAAACATTCGAGGTCATGCTTACATTTTTCCCCATCGCTTGATACGTATGTCCCCTTCGATGCCACGGTCTTTGACGGGCTTGTCGTTTGCTACTAATGGATGTTTTCATTCTGCCATCGTAACATCGAAACCATTATTCAAGGAAATTGTTTTATGCATTACAAGATGCGTGATCCTTCGATAGGATGCAGTTTGAAGGATGCTCGTTTAACCTTAACGATATTCTTTTTCAGTTCATTTATTTGGATAGCTCAATCACGTTAGGTTTACGGAGGAGCCGATATTGCATTGTTTAAAGTTCAACCCTTTGTATGTACCTCTAAAATAAATCTTAAGTTAATTGCGTAATAAATAAAAATCGAAATATGTCTCAACTAAGAGCCAGACAAGAAGATTTTAGCATGCAAAAATATCAGCGAGAAAATCGTTTTGATGAATAATCAAGATTGCAAAAATTGCCTGGGGTCATATTGACTTCAAGTTACGGACAAAGGGTTAATAGGAATAATACTTAATACTACACTCTATTCCAGGCCAAGTCACATTTAAAGATAAAAAAAATAGTTAAAAATAGCGTGTCTTACCACTCGAAGTTTGGCGTGGAATATTATTTTGGATTTTTTTTTTTCTAGAACCTCGAGAAAATAGGGTCTTATTAATGCTCTCCCTATGCAACTTACAATTGGTGGCATCCTTTTCGTAAAATATCGGGCATAAGGTCGGCCCAAAACTGCCATTACGCTGACGCTTTTGGTGGCCGAAAGCTGGAAACCTACCGCGCTGGCCCACCTGGCTACAGCGGAGACTGCTGCCTGGGCCTTGATCCTGTTACGTGTTGCTGTTGGGCCGGTAGTTACGATAAGTACATCGTCAGCGTACACGAAAATGTAAACATTTTTCGGCAGTCCTCCTAAAAATTCCGTTCATGGCCACAAGGAAGAGGGTAACGGCGATGACTGAACCTTGTGGGATGCCCGTCTCTTTTCTGAAAAACTGCCAACTGCGACTCTGAAAGAATGATCGGTCAGGAAATTTTTGATGAAGTGGATCATGCTCAAAATATCATGTTAATTTTGGCATGGTCAGTTGATCTCATTTTGGTTGACCTAACGGTTAATACAGCAAAAATGGGAGCAACATTTTACACTGTTGAATCAAACGGAAAACTAACCTTACTTTCAATTTAATCAATTTGATATCTAAATCTGCATTCACAATGTTCAACTGAATACGGGCCTGGTGTAAATGGATAGCATCCATGCTTCTCACGCTGAAAGATTTGAGCGCAAATCTCACCCCGGGAAAGTCACGAATGACATAAAATGTGTATAGCAAAACAAATAAACAATAATCGTTAGTTCAACGTGTAACCGTTTGTTACAAAACATGTTAGATTTTTAATTTGTGCATGGTTGTTAAATGTACCGTCACGTCTCTTAAAGTTATTTGGTGTTGGATTAGTAGGGTTAGTAGTCGTTGTAAAAAAATGTTAATTTGTTAGTAGGATTAATTGTTTTTAAATTTGAAAATTGTATAAAACCGTACAACAGTACAGTGGGTATGAATATTCTACCACTGGGTACAACAAAATTCGGGCGAAACTATGAATTCAAAATGGGTGGAAAATAAAGTCTCACGAGAAGAACAATGGGATGGGAAAAGCGCGAAGGAAAACCGCCATACCTGAGTCAGTATCTGGCGTTCGTGTGCTTCGGATCGTTAAAACCAAGTGTCTTTAAAGTAATAAAAGTGAGTGGTGAATCGCGGGAATACCTATCTGTTCAATCAGGTAATACGGCTTGGCTAATTAATTACGGATAGCTAACATTAATCGAATGACCATAGACTAGTACGATAATTAATAAAAATAAACCCCGTTGCCCTCACAGGACCTTTTTGTGGTACCATTCGGTACAGCGCCATTTTGTGAACCAACCGACTAAGTCGGTCAGGAAGCACACGAGTCCTTAGTGGCTATTAATCCTAACAGTAAAGGACATCATTTCGATTTGGCATTGCAAAGTCAAAATCGCCGCATTCCTCGGGCCAAGGCGGCTCTAAACGCAAAAGAGGACCCCTCTCAGCAGAGTCACTCCGGCCTTGCCTGGATTCTGGTGATTCTCGTCAACGAGGGTAGACGCCAGGAGACCGCAGATCGCCATCAAGTTAAGTCGATCTGTTGTTCCAACATCACCACCCTGTCAGGCTTGATTCGCCCGACGTCAAGCTCGTCGTACGTAGGATCATCGGCGAGCGCTCGCACATCGGCAGAGTAGTCTTCGGCGGAGCAGAATCAACGGCAGCAGTTCAGTACCGGTACGTCAAACCCAGTAGTAAGCCGACCTTGAGACACAGCTCGAGAGGTTTCTTGCTACTGAGCGTTTTTACCGGGATACAGACAGTAGAGTTACAAACGACAGATGAACTTAAATTAAATGTTAAACAAGACCTTGACAGCAGAACTTCAAGTTAAGTTGCTTTCATTTAAAAAGTCTTGATTGCATAATGGAAGCATGTTGATGCTAGGGTGGGGTACCTAGGGGGCTACCAGGACAAACACCTCGGCGGGCTTGGCTAAGCAACGGCCTACCAATGAGGGTGGGTTATACAACAACCTCTTTTGATGGCTAGCTCGATCTAGAGGGCAATTCTTAGCCTCAAGGTCGGCTGGAGTGATTTACCGGGCTAATCAGGACTCGGATATAGTGTGATTGAATAGAAAAAGCTACTGAATTACACTTCAGAGGTTTATTTCCCTGCAAATTACATTCTGTGTGTATGTGTGTGACGTGTATAGTGTAGGTTTTCTACAGATACCTGGCCGGCCGGCGACTGTTGGATCTTTAGTGCGGTGATGCTGCACGTGGTGGTGGTTGATACGGCGGTGGTGATGCTGTACGGGTTGGTGGTGGATTCGGCGTTGTTAACGTCCGTCGTGGCGGCGATTATGGCGGTGACACTGGCCGTGGTTACACCGGAGACTACGGTGTTGGTGATGGTGACGGTGGTTGAGCAAGGGCGTTTGGTGGCGCCAGTAGGTATGCCAAGTCACAATGGTGGACTGTGGAGAGGTGTCTTCTTCGGTGGGAAGTTATGTCCCGGCACCTTACACGAGGTACTGGCGGGTCCCTCTCAGGATTATGTGGCTCTGCGGGAACGATCGGGGTATGAATCCGGTTGGAACTCGTTCGGAACGGAAAGGTCCAAAGTGGTCCTATCCTCCGGGCCGTCGAACGGAATTGGCTCTCCAGCGGTCAATCGCCCACGGAAGGCCTGTCGGCGTGATCTGGCCGAACACCTCGATCGAGCGTACTTAGTACGAAAACTTAACGGTTTTTTTAGCTTGTTCAACTGCTCTTCTTTAAGGTTACTTGGCAAGTGGTGGAAGAAGTTTCCGTGCTACTCGCCGTTCCCTTTCTCATGTTCCACTGAACTCAAATTGTTGGCTCATCACCTATCCCAGCAGTTGGTAGTAAACTGTGGTACTGTATAATGTACTAAAACTAGGGTTGTCAAATTGGCAATTATTATTTAAATTCAAATGGACATGCAGAATACGATAAACATACAGAAATACATCAACAAATGTTACAAACGGTAACAAGCACAATATGATATCAGACTAATGTCGCGACATTTGACATCAAAATGAGTTTTCATTGTGATCGGAACTGCAAACTTTAGTATCGATTTGCTTTCATTTTGTTAACTGACTTTGCTCGGGTAGGCTGTGTTCCGTTTGGTGAATTTTCACTTAAATTTGATAGTTGAAAAACTTTCAAATAAAGCTGCTATTGTACCAGGCTTATTTCTGACAGACCAGGACTCAATTTTTTTCGGGGCCTCCCTTAGCTCAGTCGGTAAAGGCACAGCTACAAAGCAAGACTATGCTGGAGGTGGCTGGGTTCAATTCCCGGTCCGGTCTAGGAATTTTTCGGGTTGGAAAATTTCTCGACGTCCCTGGACATAGAAGTATGATTGGACTTGCCACACAATTATACCAATGCAAAAATGGTACAAGCATCGAAAGCTCTCAATTAATAACTGTGGAAGTGCATCTAGAACACTAAGTTGAGAGCACGCAATAAGCTAATATGCGATATGCAATAAGCTTGAAATGCGAAGAAGAAGAAGGAAAAAATCAATTTTGACAAACACCTTCTCGAACATCGGACGATCAACAACAGAGGGGGCAACGACAGACCTGGATTCAATCCCAGTCGGCGCCGCCGGGATGTTCTGAGTTCTCAGGGAAGTAAAGCCGTTGGTCACGGGTTCATGAGTCGATGGGTCGATAGGTAGGGTTCAGGTGTAGGAGCTGCCTCCCTAGCGTCCCTAGCGTCAGCATTGGCGCTCAGCACGGAAAACAAGATCGATGGAAATCAAGGGAAAAAAAATTCTCTAACATTCTAACACCACCAGTTCCACTAGAGAAATTTGTCGTGCGTGTACATATTTATTAAAGGTGATGCACATATTATGTCACGCTATGAGCGGAGGAGGGTGTCAGATTCTCACCCCTACTCTTTACTCTATTCGAAGCGGATTTCCATTTCGAACAATATGTGACAAGCAATACATTAAATATAGGAGAAACGCGACGGGAGGAGGGCTAAATTTTCCCTCAACTTGCTGTGACATAATTAAAGTATGGCCCCTCATAATGCTAAGTGCTATAAATAATTAAAAATGAAATGACAGGAGTAACGCATCATCCGGTATTCGGTACATTACGGTACTCTTTTTGATTGAAATTTCTGCATCACTATTCGCTTCAATTTTAATCCATCCTCAATCCTTCATCAAAAGCTACATCTGACAGTGGAAATCATCACTCCTGTCACATATTCAACACAAGCAAAAGGGTATCGCACCGGGCCACATCTTTTGAAGTTTCCACTTTCGTCTCAATCGAATCAATCTTGCCACCAACATAGGGGAGATGGTCCCCCCGATTCCATCTGCTGCTTCCCGTTTCGATTGCTTGTTTTTCTACAGCCCTCCCAACCAGAATAGCAAGCTCCCGAATGCCTGGCTTCTGATTTATTCAAAACGACTTTCATGAACTGAAATGATGTTTTTCCTTCTTGGGGATTCCTCGCCGTTTCCCGCTTCCAATCTTCCGAGCGCAACGAATCGAATTGGTAAACATTTTCCGCACAAGCTGGTGATGTGGAGATTCTGTGACTGAAACCTAGTAGGTAGGTACTTTGCGTGAGAGTTGTATGTTTTTGCAAATTTTTCTGCTTATGCAAACTCTGATCGGTTGCGCTGAATACTGGTTTCAATGGTCGCGGAAAAGGGAGGGGGGAAGGAAATGTAATATCCGTCGCATCAGCAAAATTTGCAATTTTATAGGGCCATGCAGAAGGCTTCGTCGCATTTCGGATCGGGAGTTGTTTTCCATTATAGCAAATACACATGTTGAATTTGGTGGTTAAAATTTAAACGAGTCAGTACTTACATTTTCAGGACTGGAAGGGTTAGGGAGTGGGCCCGATCTGCGGAGACGGGCTAGGGCACTCCTGAGACCTTCCGTGCTGCTATCTTTGGCACCCCGTTCGAAAATATAACAACCGCAGAACAACAGTTTGGCGCTTTTTTTTTCCTACGGCTTGGCTGCCTCCTTTGTTAGATGTTGTTGTGGCTGCTTTTCTCCTTAACTGCTAATGATATCCGTCGTGGCACTCTCTTCGGGAAAAAGGGCCCACCACAACTTTTCTCCGAGGTGGGCCGTAGTGCTTTCCGCTTCCTTCACTTACTAACCGATAGACCTAAATAAGGTGCTTTCCGCAGCGGAACACACCGATAACACTAACCGGAGCGTGTGAAACTATACACGTGCGGCGTCCCACACATAAAGCACTAAACTTCGCTCCAAACAGCGATTACCTTCGCTTTTCACGGCATGCACTCACTTTCCCGGAACCAGCAACTGTTTCACTTTTAATCGCACAATAAAAAAAACTCGCCAACCAACGACTTTTCTAAACTTTCACAATTTTCCCCTGCAGAGATTTTTCCTTCCTTCGATGCTTCTGGCGATGTCAAGTTGGTTTGCTCAACTACCACCGACCGGTGTTCACCTTTCCATCGTGACGGAAAACTGAAACTATGTATATAAAGCTATATAGCAATAGCAGCTTCGGTTCCACTCTTTTCCGCTGAAGCAACTTTGAAGTTGGAGCTACCCCGAGCTACATTTGAAAAACGTCTGTGGTAAAGCATCAGAGGAAGCACCTCCGGTGTTGGTCTTTCTAGATAACAATATATTGGTGACAAGGAGGTGTTTTTCTCAGATAAATGGAGGTGGTTTGCATGCTCACTCTCTTCTCCTTCCACCCTTTATCGCATCTTGGGCTAAGAGTTAGTTAGTGTGGATTGAATGTTAAGATATTGTGTGGTTTATATCCGCAGAAAGTTTTCAACTGGTGTGCGTAGATTGTGGCAAAGAAGGATTTCGATTACTTTTTCTACACACAGTGGTGCAAGGTAGACTCCTGCGCTAAAAATGATGCTTCTGAACGATTTTCGCTCAGGCCTGAAAACAAAGTGGAAATTAATCTTTTTCAAAGTTCCAACACCGCTAGTACGTCAACATGATATGCTATTGTTAAAATGTAGCGTTACATTACATTCAAGACCACACATTTTTATTTAGTTTAGCTTGACGGATTTTTTTTAGGGATTACTGTTTAGCATATGCAGGGCTGGTAGCGACCACTGCTGTCAAAAATAGTGATTTTAGTGACCATGTTGAAGAAATAAGTGACCAAATAGTGACTTATAGTTGTAAAAATAGTGACTAAAAAGTGACCTAAGAGAAAATAAATGTTTTATGTTTCAGACTTATTCAACAAGTATCTCATATACACTTAGGTACGATATGAACCTTTAAAACGCAAGATTCATTAGAAAGTTTATGGAAAAACCCACGGTTTTAGTCAGGGTGTCTACACTGAAAATAAAATTTCGTTTATACAACGAAATCGCTCGTTTGTTCTACGAATTTATTCGTTGTTTTCTGCAACGAAATGGATTTGTACATTGTATGAAGCTAGTTTCGTTAGAACTGCCACACTCGCTATCGCTACACCCAACCAGCGGTCCACAAGTGTTGGTTGTGGAAACCGAAAAATGTGGAGTGTGTTAGTGAGGATGGGTAAAAATAACTTCATCATTGGAAGGAATAAATGACAAAAAAATTAAATTAGGCTTCAGACCGCAATCGAATCATGAACCTTGCGATCGCAGTTAGCGCTCAACTTCCAAGCGGAGCAGACGTTTTATTTCCCTGGAAGCCACACGCAAGCTATATTTTTTCAATTTTCGGTTCGCCTCGTTTTAGTGGTTGTTTTTGCGTGTTCTTTTCGTCGCGATTATCGCCGCGATGAGTGTTCGACGTGAAAACACGTTTCGCATCGATTATTCGAACGTGCCGAAGAAGCCATCCTATGATGAGCTTCATGACTTTGTTGCTACCGAATTGGGTCTACAATACGAAGAAGTTCTTCGTCTCCAGCCAAGTAAGGTATTTGGATGCGCCTTTGTGAAGGTCGTCAACCTAGAGCTAGCGCAGAGAATTGTAACAGAGCACGACAACAAGCACGAGACCGAAGTAGACGGCAAAACCTATAAGCTTCAGATCACAATGGAGGGCGGGATGGTTGAGGTGAAGCTGACGGACCTGTCCGAAAGTATCACAAACGAACAAATTACTGAATTTCTCTGCGCCTACGGTGAAGTGCTCTCGGTCACCGATCATGTATGGGATAGCAAATATCGCTTCGCTGGGCATCCGACTGGCGCTCGCATCGCGCGCATGATGGTGAAGCGCAACATCGAAAGCTACATCACTATCGACAGTCAGTCAACGAGTGTGACATATATCCGACAGCTGCAAACGTGCCGCCATTGTAGCGAATTTGTACACAATGGCATCTCTTGTGTACAAAACAAAAAATTTGCTTGTGCAAAAAACGTACACGTATGCCAATGTGGCAAAACAACCGGGACCGAAACCAACCGCCCCGAAAGCCTCTGCAACGATGCAGAAAACACCATTCGTCAAACCGTTTGGACCGAAGCCCGGTGAGGGGGGAAAGCAACGAATCCATCCACTGACCCAAAGACCAAGTGCAACTCAACCTGCGCTAACTGCTCCGAAGCTGTCCACACACAACCCTGTCGAGCCGAAGCTGGTGAAAACAAACCCTGCCGAACAAAGTGCTACTCTCATGGCACCGCCGGCTTTGATAGGTTCAATCAGCAGAATGGTCACACGTCAAACCAGCGATGGAAACGAAACAGATGGGTCATCGACTTCGGGAAGCTACAAGCGCCGAGGTGGTCGTCCTCCAGGCAAAAAGCAACGACATGACGATGCGAACGAGGAGGTAGACAACGAACTATAATGGATCTCAGCAGCTATAATATCACCTCGATTAATATCAACACCATCACCAACTCAACAAAACTCAACGCACTACGAACTTTTCTACGAACGATGGATATAGACATCGCACTATTGCAGGAAGTAGAGAACGAGGAACTCAGCTTGCCTGGCTACAACGTCGTGTGCAATGTAGATCACTCACGAAGGGGGACGGCACTAGCGCTGAAAGCGCACCTGAAATTCTCAAACGTCGAGAAGAGCTTAGACGGACGGCTGATTGCACTACGGGTGCAGAACACTACAATTTGTAACGTTTACGCTCCATCTGGTACGACCCTTAGAGCGGAGAGGGAGCGATTCTTCATCAATACTCTCGCTTACTATCTCCGACATCGCACAGAGCAAACATTGATAGCTGGCGATTTCAACTGTGTTCTACGGCAACGTGATGCAACGGGATACAATCACAGCCCCGCTCTCCTCGCAACCGTACAGCAGCTGCAGCTCTTCGATGTTTGGGAACAACTCTGTCCAAATATACCGGGCTACACGTACATTACACACAACTCATCTTCTCGCCTAGACCGTATGTACGTTAGCCAGGGTCTACGAAGTCAGTTGAGAACAGCTAATGCGCATGTTTGCTGTTTTTCTGACCATAAAGCCGTAACAACGCGAATTTGTCTTCTTCAATGAAGCCGCGAACCTGGTCGTGGTTTTTGGTCGCTACGTCCACACCTGTTGACAACAGACAACATTCACAGGTACGCTGGCAATACTGGACCCGCCAGCGTCGAAATTACCCCTCATGGATGCAGTGGTAGCTGTCGTGCGCTAAGCCTAAAAAAAAAACATTTTTCCGTTGGAAATCAAAGGCTGCTTTCGACGATTTTCATCAGGAACACCAACGCCTATATGGAGAATTACGGCGAGCGTACGATGGCTACTACCAAAACCCTGCGATGTTGTCAACAATAAATCACGTAAAAGCAAAAATGTTGACTCTTCAGCGCAGCTTCACGCAAGCATTCATGCGCGTAAACGAGTCCTTCATCTCTGGAGAACCGATCTCAATGTTCCAGCTGGGCGATAGGCGTAGGAAAAAAAAACAACCATCACACAACTGCGAGACAACGATAACCAACTCATCGATGATCCTGGTGCGATCGAACGACACATGCTTGGCTTCTACCAATCGCTATACGCTGCGGGTGAGACGGAAAGAGCAGCAGCAGACACATTCGAATGCGAGAGAATGATCCCTGAGAACGACCCGGTAAGTGAGTCCTGTATGAATGAGATAACTCCGGCTGATATATACACAGCCATCAAGACTAGCAGCTCGAACAAGTCTCCCGGAGGAGACTCTTTGCCACGAGAGTTCTATCTCAAAACTTTTGATGTCATCTGGAGAGGAATCACACTCGTCATAAACGAGGCACTTTCAGGTAACTTCCCAGCTGATTTTGTTGACGGTGTGATCGTACTTGTGAAGAAGAAGGGAAACGATCGTTCAGCGCACTCTTAAGCTGGGTTTAGACTAGGCAAGTCAAATGATCAACTCAGTTGAATTCAATTGGCTTGAAAAGTTGAGCCTGGTTCAACTTTTTTCAATTCAAGTGAGTTGATCAAGTCAGTTGAATGGTATGGTTTACACGTTCAATTCGCGTTCAAGTCAGTTGAATTCAACTGACTTGATCAATTGACTTGCCCTATCTAAACCCAGCTTTAAGCTGGGTTTAAACAGGGCAAGTCAATTGATCAAGTCAGTTGAATTCAACTGACTTGAACGCGAATTGAACGTGTAAACCATGCCATTCAACTGACTTGATCAACTCACTTGAATTGAAAAAAGTTGAACCAGGCTCAACTTTGCAAGCCAATTGAATTCAACTGAGTTGATCATTTGACTTGCCTAGTCTAAACTCAGCATTAAGCTGGGTTCAGACTAGGCAAGTCACTTGATCAACTCAGTTGAATTCAATTGGCTTGAAAAGTTGAGCCTGGTTCAACATTTTTCAATTCAAGTGAGTTGATCAAGTCAATAGAACGGCATGGTTTACACGTTCAATTCGCGTTCAAGTCAGTTGAATTCAACTGAGTTGATCAATTGACTTGCCTTGTCTAAACCTAGCTTTACAAACCGATCTCATTACTCAACTTTGATTATAAAATCCTCTCTCGTATTCTTAAACAGCGTCTGGAGAGCGTGATGAGTACCCACCGAGTGGTCAGCGAGAGTCAAAAATGCTCTAACTTCAGCTGGAATATATTTCAAGCTACCCTTGCTTTGAAATATCGAATCGCACGACTGACCAAATGTGAACAACGTGGTCTACTGGCATCATTCGATCTCCGTCACGCTTTCGACGTAGTGGACCGGTCGTTTCTTTTTCGTAACATGTGCTCGCTCGGGTTCATTCCTAATCTCGTTCGTCTACTAAGCAAAATCAGAGATTTGTCGTCCTCTCGCCTGTTGATAAACGGGCATCTCTCGGAAGCATTCCCCATCGAGCGATCGGTTCGCCAGGGGGACCCTAGGCGAGTAAGAGAGGTGCCACAGTCGGAAGAAGTGTTAGTTTGTTTACTAAAATGAACCGTCCATTTTGTTATGGCAAGTTTTGCTATAAGAAATGCTCCTCGTGTTTATTAGCGAAATTCACATCAAAGATTGATTAATTGTGTAGGAAATCAGTTTGGCACGGCATTTGTGACCA